ATAGACAGACAGTCAGACAGACAGACAGATAGATGATAGACAGACAGATAGATAGACAGACAGACAGATAGATGATAGACAGATAAATACATAGACAGACAGTCAGACAGACAGACAGATAGATGATAGACAGATAAATACATAGACAGACAGTCAGACAGACAGACAGATAGATGATAGACAGATAAATACATAGACAGACAGTCAGACAGACAGACAGATAGATGATAGACAGATAAATACATAGACAGACAGTCAGACAGACAGACAGATAGATGATAGACAGATAAATACATAGACAGACAGTCAGACAGACAGACAGATAGATGATAGACAGACAGACAGACAGACAGATGATAGACAGACAGATAGATAAATAGATAGATAGACAGACAGATAGATAGACAGATATGATCCAATGAATCGCAGTAGAAGAAGCAGAGGAAGAAGTGACGTATGTCCGCAGCTAACGCGGGTGCGTGATGTCACGCGCGTAACGTCCAGAATCCACTATGGCGGCGGAAAGGTAGGGTGACTCACACTCTGCCGGTAATATCGACATCGGATAGCAGATATCTGAACGATTCACCATTCTTCGTTCCCGGCTTGCGCGCAAACATCCCATTTCTTCGTGCACTCTCTCTGATCTTCGTGGAACGGACGCAAACATGCCTAATATCAAGATTTTCAGCGGCAGCTCCCACCAGGATCTGTCTCAGAAGATCGCGGACCGTCTCGGACTGGAGTTAGGAAAAGTAGTGACAAAAAAGTTTAGCAACCAAGAGACGTGGTGAGTTTCTGGAAATTGCCTGAACGTGTTTTATGTGATTGCTTTAACATGTTGAAGCGCCTTTTCTCGCAGCTGGGAGTTGTAGTTCAGATGGCGCCTGCCAGCGCTCCACGTGCGTTTGAGTAAACTACAACTCCCAGAAATCTCCACGCCAGGCGAGGCGATGTCTATTTGCTTTAGTGTGAACCTACATTTTATGACTAATATTGCCATTTAATGTGATTTTTTAACACTTATTTAGGAATGGACATATTACTGCTTAAAGAGTGCAGGGACCCTGAATCATTCACTTGAGCTTCACCGGTTTGCGGTGTGAACGCTGAGAAAGAGTAACGTTATTTGATTTCATGGCTTGCTTTCATGTCGTACTGTACTTTTACAAAACAAATACAGTGGTGTTATAATGTTTCAGCGATGTTTTCATAAGGCAATAGTACAGTAGCTTTGGTCTAAGACGCTGCTTAGTGATTACAATATTCATATTGAGTTTTATTTACATGTTGCTCCAAGATTACATGATTTTATTACAGTATGATGTCAGTTTAATAAAACATGGCAATGCAGATCATGATACACTGCTGTTTGTGTTTGTCTTCTGCAGTGTGGAGATTGGAGAGAGTGTCCGTGGAGAGGATGTGTACATCGTCCAGAGCGGCTGTGGTGAAATTAATGATAACCTTATGGAGCTTCTGATTATGATAAACGCCTGCAAAATCGCATCGGCCTCCCGAGTCACAGCGGTCATCCCATGCTTCCCTTACGCCCGGCAGGATAAGAAGGACAAGGTGGGGCGAAGGCTATGAAATCTGTGCCATTGCCTGTCAGTGAACGTTAAAGGAGGAGATTTTTTGTGCATGCTGTTGATAGGAAGTCCGTAGCGTGTGTCACTTTGCTTTTTCACTCAAGATGTTTGATCTTCTCCTTTGTTTTCTGCAGAGTCGGGCGCCCATTTCTGCCAAGCTGGTGGCAAATATGCTGTCGGTGTCTGGTGCCGACCACATCATTACCATGGATCTGCATGCATCTCAAATACAGGTGGGCTTTATAGCACTCAAAAGGATTTAGTGATAACACACACAAAAAAATGTGTTTAAGAAATAAAATTGCACAAATTAGCTGAGTGCATTGCCAACATGACTCCCTTGTTTTTTTGTTGCTTTTGGTGTAGAGTGAGAATAATGGGAAAAAAATAAAATTTCTACCTACATATCAAGGATGCACTGATATGAAAACTTATCGGCGAATACCGATAATTCTTTATATTTGAAAGCCGATAACTGATATGCTGGCCAATAAATCTAAATCCAAAATTGTATATAATTTGTGTGAGCCCAGTCTCACCATTAAAAGCCCTGTCCCAAGCACTTTAACGTAAATCAAACATATACAGTACAGCATCCTCGTCTGAACCAGTGTGAGCTTTAAAATGATTACCTACTACCAACTTTCTTTATCAAAGAAATAAATCAAATAATGCTTAAATAAGTCATGTGTAAAGAATCAAAATGCATTGATATGCAAGTACATCGATAACAAGAAAAACGTACATTTATCAGCCAATATCGGTATGGTGGCCTATATATTATGCATACATATTGTTATTCAGCAATCACGAAGCCTACAATTTACATTTACATTCATGCATTTGCTGGACACTTTCTTTCATCCAAAGCAACTTTCATTGCACTGAGAAGAAACATTTGATTAGTTTGCTGCTTTCCGATGACCTTGGTGTTGCTGGTGCCACTGTTTGAGCTGCAGGAAGACAGTTCTTGGAAATGCATGAATTTGCTTTAATCCTTTTTAGGGTTTCTTTGACATTCCTGTGGACAACTTGTATGCAGAGCCTGCCGTTTTGAAGTGGATTAAGGAGAACATCCCCGAATGGAAGACCTGCACGATCGTGTCTCCTGACGCTGGAGGTGCCAAGAGGTCTGGAGGCGTCCGCTTCACTGCCTGTTTAGTGTGTGTCGTGGCTGATCCCTGAGCTGTGTTGTTTCCATTGACAGGGTGACCTCCATTGCAGACAGGCTAAATGTTGACTTTGCCCTGATTCACAAAGAAAGGAAGAAGGCCAACGAGGTGGACCGCATGGTTCTGGTGGGAGACGTGAAAGACCGGGTGGCCATATTGGTGGATGATATGGCAGACACCTGCGGCACCGTTTGCCATGCTGTTGATAAGTGAGAAACTAATGAAAATAATAGCACGAACACTGAGTGCTTCATCAACCGTAAAGCTCTTTGTGTGTGTGTGTGTTCAGGTTAATATCAGCAGGAGCGGTTAAAGTGTATGCTATCCTCACTCATGGCATCTTCTCTGGACCAGCCATTTCACGCATCAACAACGCCTGCTTTGAAGCCGTAGTTGTGACCAACACAATTCCTCAGGAGGAGAAGATGAAGCATTGTCCCAAAATACAGGTTTGTCATGTTGCCCAACTGGAAATCTAGTGAATCAGCAGAGTGTTCGTTCTTTTATCAAAACTTTAGAATATAGGTCAATAACAGCAAAAGCGGTTTTTAACCAAACCATTCAAAAAAAAAGGGCAAGCAGAACTACAGATGCATTATAGGTAGGGTACAAAAGAGGTAACGTGTTTATCATTACTCCCGCAGTGAAAAAAATGGTTTTTATGGAACACTGGAGCATAAAAGTGGTTTGTTTTGTTTAGAAATCTTTTAATGCATGAGGTGGTGAGGAGTAAAAGGCAGATACTTCAGCTGAAGCGATGCGTTAATACTTGTTTGACACATCGCTTTTGCAAAGATTGTACGATTTTCTGTTTATTTTGATTAAAAAAACACGCGTGTGTCTATATAGAGAAAAAATATAGAAAGGAGATCTCGTAATTTGAACATGGCTTTAGCATGACATAGTAGTACCGATATATAAATATGAAATATATATTATTGTTGTTTATCATTATAAAAATGGTAATTGTTTCTAAGCGGCTGCCCAGTTCAATAAATATTACAAATGTAATGATGTCAGCCAGCTATTCATTATCATGTTAATTATTGTCCTTTTAGCCTCAACAGCTGGGGGCACTTTTTACTCCAAATACCTACTTTTACATATTCTTCCGTTTTTGAAAAATTATCTTGAACAAAACTGCAAATCATTAACAAGGCATTCACTCAGATGTATACAGCTCTCTCTTTTTTTTAAAATGACACTTAAGATTGTTTTTGTGGTCCAGGGTCACACACACACAGGTTTGTTTTTTATGGTTTATGGGGACTCTCCATAGGCGTAATGGTTTTTCTACTGTACAGACCGTATATTCTATTGCCCTACACCAACCCTACCCCTAAACCTACCCCTTACAGGAAACTTTCTGCATTTTTAGATTTTCAAAAAACTTAATTCTGTATGATTTACAAGCTTTTGTACCCGTGGGGACCACAATTTAGGTCCCCACCGTGACACGAGTCCCCATGAGTCTGTGTGTAGTCAGGTTTAAGTCCCCAACAGGATATATAAACCAGTACACACACACACACATATATAAAAGTATAATTCATAATAGAAGTAGCCTAATTGCCGGAAGCAGGGCGTCGCGTCGCGTCGCGTCACAGGAGCCGGTGGGGCGTCAAGAGCGCTACGCTGAATAACGGAATGCTATCTTTAATCTGACGATAGAGACTAGTATCTATTATATTTCAGATTTTACGTTCGTTTTTCATTCATTCGAGTCTCTCGAAATAACGCGTGTTTGTTCTTAAAGTGACAGCGCGTTACACACAGGCTCAGAAGACGCTCAGACCGCAGGAAACCTGGTTACATGCATTGTGCGCATTGTGCAAGTGTTTTCTTTTCATTTCACTTTCTTTTCAGTCGATGCATCGCAGTTAATCTGTTTTGTTTGTCATTTTACAGGAAAGAATTACAGAGACATGTCCAAAGGTAAGCGTGTATGGATAGGAAGGGCTGGCTGTGGTTTACTCCGATCAATATCCATGGGTTTGATTTTTAAAGCCAATGCAGTGTCATAATTTTACTTTGAGATTATGAAAATGGGAATACGCCCTATGAACATAAATATATATTTCTTAACGATCACTACTACAGTTGGGAAGATCACAAAGCTGAAAATGATTAAATATATAATACTTACTCTATGTTAACATATAATATTGTCTCTTTGTTTTAACTGGACAGTAGCAGATGAGTCTGGCAACTAGATATGTTTTCAACATCATAAGGATTTATAAAAAAAAAAAAATTAAGAGAACATTTGGAACATTAAGCCTTTAGGAGATCACAAATTTCTTAGCAAACCGATTATGTTAAACTAAATTATATAATAAACTAGAATGATTTTATATGCATTTTGTGCTACTTGAATCTATTAAATAATTTCCTGTGGCTCCCTCTGGTGGATAACAGTAGTAATGATCATTCCCATTGAAATTCATGAAACTAAGCCAGGGGTCTCCAAACTGGGTCCTGGAGGGCCGGTGTCCTGCAGAGTTCAGCTCTAACACACCTGAACCAGCTAATCAAGCTCTTACTAGTGTACTAGAAACGTTCAGGCAGGTGTGTTGAGGCGAGTTAGAGCTGAACTCTGCAGGCCCTCCAGGATCCAGTTTGGAGACCCCTGAACTAAGCCATGTTTCCACAGAATGACTTATTCTCCATTGGTGCAAAGGTTTGATAAATTTGGACTTTGTGCATCGCATCTGCTAAACCACTCAATAGATAAAAAATTATTTTGATAACTTTTTTTCCAGCGCGGTCTAGTGCAATGAGTGGCACAGATCTGAAGAAGGGCCTAGGATTTAATTTTTTTTTTTTAACAAAATAGAATAGTTATGTTATCTTATTGATAAACATAGAAATGCTTAACACTTACAGGGTTAAAGTAAGGATTCAGCAGAAAGGATACAGTGGGGAAAAAAAGTATTTAGTCAGCCACCAAATGTGCAAGTTCTCCCACTTAAAAAGATGAGAGAGGCCTGTAATTTTCATCATAGGTATACCTCAACTATGAGAGACAAAATGAGAAAAAAAATCCAGAAAATCACATTGTAGGATTTTTAAAGAATTTATTTGCAAATTATGGTGGAAAATAGGTATTTGGTCAGTAACAAAATTTCATCTCAATATACCCTTTGTTGGCAATGACAGAGGTCAAACATTTTCTGTAAGCGTGTCTTAGGACATCAATGTGTCGTCACGAGCCGCAGGGTTTAATTTGGATTTGTATGTGCATGTTTTTTTTTACTCTCGTAGATTTTGTTACCATTGCCATGCATTATACAACTGATAGACTGCAACGGCTGGAGTTAAAAATCATAATCATAATAAGTTCTACTGAAGAAACAAAGTCACCTACATCTTGGATGCCCTGGGGGTAAGCAGATAAACATCAAATAAAATTTTTGGGTGAACTATCCCTTTAAGGAATATCATCTGTAGCGCCCCCTATAGGTGCAATTTTAATGCAACTTGGCGAGCATCCGCAGAATATCATGTCTATGTGTATATAGATTTTGTTGGGCTGGAGAAAAAATGGGTTTCACAGTTATGATCCAAAATGCAAATTGCCTTATTATAGCACCACCTAGTGTTGGATGGATGCATGTTTGTGCGCCTGAGATGATGAGCACTTTTGGGACCATCCTTCTAAGTTTGGGGTCTCTACAATTGAATGTCTTAAATGTCCATTGACTTTTTGGACAAAATTTGCTGGAGAAATTACACTAATATTTAGCTTTTTTTAATAGTGTTGCAGTTCTCACTGGTAGTGCGATAGGTTGCAACAACAGCACTCTGTGTACTGGATATTACAGAGTTTAGGAATAAGTTATAGATTTCAAAATCAGATAAATGTAGGACAATGATCTTTTCAGGTCTCTCTTGGGTTTCAGGTAAATAGAGAGTTACAGACTACTAAACAAATAGCTGGAATCTGCCATCTTCCACAACACATCTGTATTTAAAATTATTATGGGCCATTTGAAGGCTTTCAGCAAAAATTAACCAGTTACAAAAGTAACATGCAAAAGAAAAAAAGAAAGAAAAGAAAACACAAATTACAGTGCCTACTTTCATTGTTTACTCTTACATGAATGTATGTCAGTGTGGCTTTGTGTTCACTAGTTTATTCAACAGATATTACAAAACAAAATGATTTTCTTACAAAACTATTGCTGTCCTTATTTGTTTTTGCTTTGTAATAAGGATTCATTCACTTGGTGAGCATAACCGTTTTTACAGCTCTGTGACACAACTCGTCAAAAGGCTTATATAAACGCCTCAGAATAAGCCTTAAAAGTTCTCAGAGGTGCAACAGCACGATCATATATATGTTTTGGATGCAGAGTGCAAATGGCTGTGCATTTATTTGTGGTTTTAACTCGATGGGAGCGAAATGAAACTGTCAGAACGTGAAGCTGTGTGTGTTGTCTGTCTCCCCTCTTCCCCCTCCGCTCCACAGCGCACCATGCCCACTTTTTTTAGCATTTTTTAAAACTGTGCTGAGAACTAACCAGTGCTGAAACGGGAGGGTTTCATGACCCTTTAAGTCGCTGGGGTATATTTGTAGCAATAGCCAAAAATACATTGTATGGGTAGATTCCAGATTTTTTAATTATTGTATCTCGGCCAAATATTGTCCTATCCTAACAAAGATTATTTATTCAGCATTCAGATGATGTATAAATCTCAATTTGGAAAAATTGACCCTTTTGACTGAATGGTTTTGTGGTCCAGGGTCACATTTGGCAACGCATAAGTAAGCTATTTTCTGTGAAAATAACAGGATGCAGATGACCATGTACTCTTGTGTTAAAATAAGCTGGATAGCAAGAACAAGCATTAATGTAATTTTACTCTCAACTCCTCACTTTCCCTCAGAATCAGAGATGGGAAGCAATTCGCATCACAACCAGGAAGCCGCTCTGGAGCCTGCAGACTCTACGCTCTGGTTTCGCAGCTACTTGCATGGAGGGACGTCGAGCCTCATCTCCACGCTGACCACCGTCATTACCTTCCCTCTGTACAAGACCGTCTTCCGCCAGCAGCTGGACAGCACTTTAGTGCGAGAGGCGGTGGCCCAGTTGCTCAGGGAGGGTCCGGTAAAACTGTACCGCGGTGTGGCACCACCCTTACTGATGAGGTCCCTGAACGGGACGTTCCTGTTCGGCTTCCAGGACACCTTCCTGCAGCAGCTTTCACTCTGGGACACATCTCCTGTTCCCAGGAGTGCCCTCCCTGCTCTGGCAGGTTTGGGGGCAGGTGTACTGGAGGCCGTGCTCTTTACCCCATTTGAGCGCGTGCAGAACGTCCTGCAGAACAGTAAGAATGACACTAGCCTTCCTACATTAAGAAGCATATTGCGCAAACTAGCCTCAAAACCGTTGGCATCAGGGTACTACACTGCCTTTCTGCCTATACTCGTCCGTAATGCCTTAGGGAGCAGCCTGTATTTTGGGCTGAAGGACCCCATGTCTGAGACTCTCAGGGCTTGTGGCTGTTCTCCTTTAGCGTCCTCCTTTATTGCTGGTGTGTTGAACTCAATGGTGATCAGTCTGCCGCTGTACCCTCTCTCTGTGCTGGTGGCTAACATGCAGGCCCAGGTGGATGGAGGAGGCGGAGGGGTTAAGAGCAGCTGGCAGAGGCTTTGGGCAGCCCGTCAGCACAAGCTGGTTCTTCTGTACCGTGGAGGATCACTGGTGATCTTCCGCTCCTGCATCACCTGGGGAATCACCACTGCCATATACGACCAGCTGAAGAGGCACTCCAGAACCTCAGGTTAACAGGCAATGCTGTTGCTTGATACAGTTTCGCAGGGATGTCATTTAAAGTATCGCCAACCTGCTGATGTATTCACTGGTCCAATAATGATGCACGAGTTGACATGTATACTGTATAGCCAATGTTAAGGAATGAAACTGTACAGTTGTTCAGTTATATTAAAATGTGAAACAATCCACATGCAATTAAGGGAAAATGCCTGCTTTGCTTCTTAGTCCACTACAAATACCGTTTGTCTAGAGCCTGTGCAAACTTAACTACAATTAGTTTGAAGCTGTTATTGTTTTTAATAAATAACAATCATACATGTTTCACTTAAAGGAGATCAAAAATGAACATTTGCTGAACATGTGCTCACCCTCAGGCCATCCAAGATTAGGATGAGTTTGTTTCTTCATCAGATTTGGAGAAATGTAGCATTGCATCAGTGTCTCAGCAATGGATGCTCTGCAGTGAATGGGTGCCGTCAGAATGAGAGTCCAAACAGCTGATAAAAACATCACAATAATCCACAAGTAATCCATAGCACTCCAGTCCATCAGTTAACATCTGGAGAAGACAAAAGCTGAAACAAATCCATCATTAAGACGTTTCTAACTAAAATATGAGTCCATAATCCATAATAATGCTTCCTCCAGTGAAAAGGTCCATCTCCTGTTGTCTCTCACAAAATCCAGCCACATGTTTGTTTAGAGCTGTTTTGGCTTGTAAACGGTGCTTGATCTGTACAGATTTCTCTCCTGATTCAGACCAGGTGATTTTTTCTCCCTGGAGGAAGTGTTATTATGGATTATGGACTCGTATTTTAGCCAGAAGCAATGGTTTGAAGTTAAAATGTCTAAATGCTGGACTTCTTTCTTACAAACACGCAGCTTTTGTCTTCTCCAGATGTTAACTGATGGACTGGAGTAGGGTGGATTACTTGTGGATTATTGTGATGTGTGATGAATGGGGCGGGGCCAAGAGCCGTGGGAACGGAGCGAGGCCGGTGGAGTAATTGCTAATGTGCGACACCTGCGCCACTCACCGGTCTCGAATCTCACGGAGAAGCTCCGGAAGGATAAAAGGAGTGACAACAGTGTTGGACGAGAGAGGACCAGGCCTGGATTTTATTTTGTGTTTTGGTTCTGTTTGTGCGCGACAGTCGTCCGCGAGGGGCTGTCGTGCTCTTTTGGGTTTATTTTATTATTAAAGTTTTATTTAAATGTTCGCCGGTTCCCGCCTCCTTCTTCCCGACCTACGAACTGTATTACATGATGTTTTTATCAGCTGTTTGGACTCTCATTCTGACGGCACCCATTCACTACAGAGGACCCATTGCTGAGACACTGATGCAATGCTACATTTCTCCAAATCTGATGAAGAAACAAAATTTCTTTAATTGCGTTTTAATAGACCGGTGACGACCGCACAGAGTAGCATTATAACAGAACTAAATGTATCTAGTATAATAAAACAGAGCTGCTTTACCCCACATACACACGACCGGAAGCAGCTTAAGCGGACGACTGTGGCATAATAAAAGCTCCACTGCTTTACCCCACATACGCACGACCGGAAGCAGCAGAATCAGTCGACGGTGGCATAATAAAAGCTCCGCTGCTTTACCCCACATACGCATGACCGGAAGCAGCGGAAGTGTAATTACAGTTTATTACATGAGGTGCAAAACAAAAAACTAAGCCTTTGAATACGCGCCCTCTAGCGGTGGAAATTACATATTGTGCCTTTAAGTGATTTAAATTAATAAGACTTCTCTCTGTTCGTCTTAAAAAAGAACTTGAATGAGCGTTCATTTAGGTTTTTACATCAGCAAAATGTTTGCATGTGAAGGTGTTAATCGCCACAAGATGGCGCTGCTGATAGATTCACATCCTCACTCACTCAGTAGGTAGAAACCCTGCATCAGCTGCATTATTTTGAGTCGAGGTGTCTAGAAACACGTTCACGGATTTTACTATAATATTCATTCCCATTTATAAGATTTCTCATTTACCGTTGCTTCACTGCAGTGCAGGTTTGTCCAATCACAATGCAGAAGCGCTGCGCGTTTATCCAATCAGAATGCAGGAGTGAGAGATTGAGCCAATCCGAGCGAGCGGATTACACCCGTCCTGTTGCGCTGTGTTGGGCTCTGATGGCCAGTATTTAAAGCGGCCGCCCACCTCGAGCAGCGCACAGATTCAGTCTAACAGATCTAGTGTACTACAGTCCCGAGGCCAGCGCCAGGTAAGGCTCTTTAATGCACCAAATTATGTGTTTATTTAATCTGATAAAGAGATTTTGCGGTGCTACGCCATTTCATTTCATATAATTTTGCACACTGTTTCGGTACTATTAATGCAATCTAAATCAACACGGACGTGTTTCTATAAAAGTGTACAGGCACATTATAAAATTGCAAACATGAGATACGTTTACATTTCATATAGATTTAATAGGTATAGTGATATGGAGGGGGAACGCCAAGGCAGGACAGCATATGCACACCTGTCAATGCAGAATGCGTAGTGTGTGTGTGTGCGTGCGCCTTTGGGTTGCGCAGTCTGTCAATAATTCCTATGGTGCATAAAAGCGCTATACACAGTTCGAAAACCCCCTTCTAACTGTATAGCGCTTTTGGAACGTTTCAAACATTCAAATATTTGAAGTATCTGGCAGTGTTGCAGAATCCCAGAGATTTGGCGCGAGTCACATTTGGGTGTGGTGAAGACGTGAGGATTTGATCCTGATCATGAGAGCATTTCTTCTTTATTTACTTGCGTGTGTCTGCGTGAGATTGTTCTGATATTGTTTACCACGGTTGTTTGAGAATACAACTAACACTGATACTACTGTAATGTGTCATCTGCTCATAAGAACTGTGAGGTAGCATATTTAGATTTGCTAAACTGACATGTTTTCAAAGTAACATTGTGTTCAATGTGTGAAACCGAATATCACATATCTCTCTTTTTAGAGAGATCTATTATGTTATGTAAGTAAAAAGTGAATATGATCTGGCCCTTAAAACGAGCTATTCAGTCATGTTAAGTAACGACTTGAATAAAACTGTTACTTTAGATTATTTGATATTGCTTAAAACCAAAGACAATGTGGCAACATGCAGTAGGCGCACTTTATTAAGAAATATTATGGTAGTAGCTGCACAGAGTGATTTTGTAAAATGACTTCCTGTTGTCGTATCTGTTAAGCTCCAGTGCACTTCTGGTTTCTGCAAATATGCAAAAGCGAAGTCCATTTCAGGAGAGTGTAATTTTAGGCCAGTGATTTCTTGGCTGATCAGGGCTTGCAGAAACACACACCTGAGGGCGGCAGGCGGGGCGCGTCGACGTGTCCAAACAGAGTCACCAAAACTTCAGCTTACAGCTTTGAGGAAATGGGTCTTGGGTAGTTAAACACCCTTCTGCTTTTCAAAATGTGGTTTGACCACGATTAAGATGCTGTTGCCTGCAATGCCAGCGCAGTTTGAGAAAGATTCGAACAGCAGATGAATGACAAACACTGTCCAAACACATAATTGGTTTGACCACAGCGTTAAATGTCAATAATTCCAATGCTTTGTTTGTAGAAAGCATTGATTCATGAACAGACGGTTGTAAAGGACTAATTAGGAAGATATAAAGCAGTCATTGCATGTAGAGACTGAAACTGCCATTAACTTTCAATGACTTGAATTCTCACAGACTCTCCAAAATGAGCGACAACCCTGTTAAAGAAGAAGTGCAGCAGTTTGACAAGAGATGTCTAAAGAAGACAAACACGGCGGAGAAGAACACTCTGCCCACTAAAGAAGGTGAGCGGCTTTGGCAGCCTCTTCCTCATGACTGATTGAGCTTGCACAGTCTTGTGCTGATCTGACACGGCAAAGCAAACATGACAAGACACACAGACACACACACACTCACTCACTCACTCACTCACTCACTCACTCACTCACTCACTCACTCACTCACTCACTCACTCACTCACACACACACACACACTGACAGACACACACACACACGGATACACACACACACACACACACACACACACACACACACACAGACA